GTTGAGAATACATACATACATACATACACGCACACGATCATCGTGCCCGTACTGCCACTTCCACTACCGCTTTGGGGATGCTGCTCGAAACTGCAGTCCAAAGGCTTTCGGAAACGATAAATCCAGTAATGGCGATGGCTGCCGCTGACCAAACTATCATTCGCCTCCTGTACGTATTCGATTCTTGGTTGACACTGGCGCGGAGATAAGCGCTATACCCCATCCCTTGAAACAACGCTTGCTACAACCGGCTGTAATGATGTTACAAGCTACTAACCAGACAAAGATCGCAACCTATAGCCAGAAACTACTCACATTCAGTCTTAGACTACGTCAGATTTCTTTTCAGTTTTACTATCGCCTACATACAGAAGCCTGTCATCAGTGTCGATTTTCTTAACAAATTTGGCCTTGTAGTGGATCTGCACTGTGGGAAGTTGCGAGATTGTACTACTTCGTTAACTGCTTCCGGCAAGCTTACTGGAACTAATTCCATCAGACTTCGAGTCCTTATGCCCGATCGTTCGCAGTATTCCGCATTGTGGCAACATTTTCCATCGCTTGTCCGTGTTGGTTGTGTTGACCCCTAAGTCCACGTTCATGAATCTCTAGTCTACCGACCTGCGCGTCTAGGTCACTGGCGAGTACCACAATGTCCGTACGGCGTTTCTTACGGAGGAGGTCGGTGAGTTTATAGGTAGAACTAGCCTTTAGCTTCATTCGGCTGCAGTCCGTAGGGGCGTACGCCTCTACTGGTCCCGTGGCTAGAAGATTGCACCGAGCTTCCCAAGCGGACTGCACAAGGACGGCTGTCGACCGGGAAGCATTCAATGAGCACTGCCTCAGCACGCGCTTGACGAAACTCCTACACCGGCTGCGCCGCTGGCTATCGCTGTCGCATCAGATAAGCGCAAGGTGAATGTGCGATCCGGACTTGGGGATGGTACTTGCAATCGCAGCGATGTACTGGAGTCCTGTAAACGGGTTTCGATTAGGCAGTAAACATCGATGCAGAGGGTTTCCAAGGTCCGCACAAGAGCAGCTTGTCATCCATCCTGCATAAGCGTTCGAACATTGAGCGTAGCTAGCTTGAGGAGTGAGCGCGATACAATAAAGCCTCCCTATTGGGATTGGATTATGTACGATCGGTTTTGAGCGGTTCATTGATGAGGCCAGGAGTACCGTTTTTATTTGCAATGCGGATTTGGAGACTCGAAATTGGAGAGGGTTGCCAAGATCAGGAGGGTTGAATAAATGTGGAACGAAGAAGATAGTTTGCGGTGCGGTAGAGTGAGGTTAAGCATGCCCAGCCGCCAGCATCTCAGCCAAATAGAGAGACGGCTCAGTGTGCGACAACCTTAAGCAGAGGGTTATAAATCCATCAGTTCATGTGTTTTGTGGGCATACGGCTTCCTGGTAGCCCAAGCCGTGGAAAGGGGTTGACTTAAGGAACCCCACCCGGAGTCTTGGTTCATCGAGACCAGACCAGCAGGGCAGCGAAGTCCGTTTTAGAGAGTAAGGACTCATTCCCTACGTGGAGGGCGGAGGGACCGAGTTTGTCTGGTATCTAACAATCAATCATTCTGGTATGCGTGGCTCTGAAGGTGCTAGAAGCACCAACAGTCAGTTCAGTGGATTGTTTAGGCACGCAAACCGTCGCAGCATGTTCATTTCCAATCTCATCGCGTGCCATCCGAGATTACTTTATACCATTTACCCTAACCTCGTTCTCCAATTGTAAACCGCACATTATCCATAAGGCTGAGCATTACCTGTCAGCCAGTGACAGAATAAATACATCAAAAACCTCTGTGTAGCCCAGAGGTCTTGCAAATCGTGATGCCTTACTGTTTAGTCGAAGGGCTCCCCTGCTTGTGTTGTTTTTTCATGTTTGATACTGCCTTATAATCAAAAGTCCAGCACTAGCATTTGGGCCGGCCTTATCGTTTTTTATTATCTTGAGTTTCCGCTGATAGTACGGACAAACAATGCAGCCACTCTGTCCATGATACAGCCACCTTCCAAATCAGAAGACAAGGGCCTCTGGCAGAACTTGCGCGGTGCACTCGGGAGACAGAATGTACAGGCGTAATATGTGGCCAAAATAAATAGATCATGAGAGAAAGACGTAAGTGCAAGTTCCTGACGATAGCAACTACTAGATGCGTAAATCTCGCTTGTTGGCTGATCAAGTAGTATGCTTACTGGAGGGCTTCAAGGAAGGTCATTCTGATTGGTCCACTTCAAGGTAAAACGATACCATTGGCTTACTCTCATTGGCTACCCAATCGACTACGGGCGGCATACCACCAATCTTCTCCGGGATGCTCCAGACAGAGAGAGAGCTAGCTTCGATGGCTGCTACGGACGGGCCGCGGTAACGTATTACATTTCTTAGGTACGAAAAATTCATACCGTTTATTCAAATCCAATTTCAGAGCGTTACCCCAGCTATCATATACGTGTAGCCGGTCCGCGGCCGTCACGCTAACAGATAAGAGGTCGATAAGTATTGCTTCCTGTTATCCCTACTCTTTTATTCCTCTGCGGCATTTTTCTTTCCCTCTTCCGTGCTTCTTTAGCTGCTTCCCTTACATCGGCCTCTTACTAGGTGATTGTGCATTCAGCCGTCTACAAGGTATTAATTTTGTGCTGAATCTCTAAGGGTTTATTACGGCTCGTCGTAATATTTGGACACGGAAGAGTTTGGAACGCCGGACCGGAGGAATATTACATATTTGGCAATCCTGCCAGGATCAACAGCAGTCCACAAAGCTAGATTGTAGCCCTTGAGGCAATAGTAAACTTTTCTGCTATCGTACTGCTTGTGGTTGAATCTCCCGAGCCTAATATACCGCGCTCAATACCTCTTGCAGGTACATATGTTGATGCCGATAACGGTCATTTGACGCTGAGGACAGCGCCTGCTAAGGGGAGGATGATGTAGCCGGTCCACGAGTGTCCCAGTAACACGTTAACAGGTAAGAGGCCGATAAGTTTTGTTTCCTGTTATCCTTACCCTTTTCTTTCTCTCTGACACTTTTCCTTCCCTCTTCCGTGCTTCCTTAGCTGCTTCTCTTACATCGACCTCTTACTAGGCAGTTGAGCATCCAGCCGTCTACAAGGTATTTATTTTGTGTTGCAGCTCTAAGGGTCTGTTACAGCCCGTCGTACTATTTGGACACGGAAGAGTTTGGCACATCGGCCCGGAGAAATATTACATACGCGTTTATTTTCGCTTTTTTAACACGTGGCTGCCATTACGTAATCCTAGTTGCCAGCGACACGTTGCCCACGGGTTATTGAACCGCCGCTTGTGTGTCACAAGTTCGACTCAAGAGAATTTGTACTGACGCTTTCGTCATTCAATCAACAAATCGGCGTCTCATACTGCACAATATTTAGTTGGATGTTATGACTTCCAAACAATGACTTAACGGGAACACGGATAAATTGATTGGGTGATTAGACTTCTAATCCGGCGGCTCCTCGTAGTGTCATCTCTTTTGTTCCCATTTTCTTGTTAATTTGGTTTTCCTTGTGGCAGCTCAAGCTGTGGTATCTGCCGGTGGTGTAGTTTTCTATGAAATGAATTATATTCGTTCTCTATTTTATCACCCCCTGTCACTTGGTATAAGTTTCCGACGTGTGTGTATTGTCCATTTTCAGCAGCAATAGCTATTTCTGGCCACTACTTGCAGCACACTATGAAACACTGCACACTCATCCTTCAGGATGTTCCGGAAAACTCTATCGTTGGAATCGATATGAAGTTTTGGACCATCGGAAAAAACTTTCGGGGCATCCGTGACATACCACTTGGGTTTCACTATGTATATTTCAGGTTGGTAATGGTTCGACAGTAATGTTACTAACAATCACCATAATGAGCAGTGACACTCCCTACATACTAGCCGTTTAGTGTAGTACAATCATCATCATCGTCAACAGTAGTTCATTAATACTTTGTTTCTTTACTTCCATACGAACACAGTGACCTAGAGAGTGAGGAACAATAAATATGAAATGCTCTAAGCCCAAATTCAGTCATGGCGTCCACACTACATCAACAGATACTTTCAGGTTCATAAACAGTTGGCTGTCTTTCGAGGATGTGGCGTTGTTAGGCGAGTTAGATTCTTTGCGGCTTTCACCGCCCTGCATCATAATTAACTTTACCTCAGTTAATGCTACATCAGACACACTTTGAACAGGTAGTCCGACTAGGAGACGACAGCAAACCAGCCAGTGATGACTTCTGCGAACCAGGTCACTTAAAGTCTCAAGCCAACCACAATGGGATTCACAATGGGCTCTAGCAAAAAAGCGGGACGGATCAGCAGCACCAGTTAGTCGCCAATGATTTCACTTCCGCTGCTAAGTCGAATTTGACTCACCACAAGTTTCGCACCTTCCAATCTCCGGCAAACCGGATGAAACCCTCGTGAATAGGCGGTGACCAGGCATGTAATGTACCTTTGTTCTGTTGCTACCACTCTCCACGTTGCCCAAGAATATTGCCCTAATTCCCCCGGTCCACTTTGTTGCACTCACAATGCGAACCTGTTGCCTTCTCTCGCATACCTTGGCTCCCGTCCCTATTTGCTTGTTGTTTCCTGACCCGAACTCCCAGCTAGATCCCCTTCTTTTTTATTCATGCTCTATTGATCGTTGCTCTATATTTGTTTGTTGCCACACACTGCAATTTCTCGTTTGACGTCCAATTCCCGCATCGATCTTACGGCTCACGTTCCCGTTTTGATTGATGACCTAACGTGGACACACTTGCTAGCCCAATAACCTGTTCGATTACGTCTGATTCCTCATGTGTTACTACGCCCGCGTCTTCCTCTCTTCAGGTCATACCATGTCTATGTCATGTGTCCCCTCAACAGACTCCTTAGCTTTGTGTAATTGGATTCATGACCGTTTTCTGATTAGTTCGTTGATGAAACCAACATGTCTTGCCATGTACCTGGGCGTTAGCCCCGATTCACTGTACTGTATTTGTACGACTGGATCGTTGTATGTTATCGTAACAGGTAACTGTGTATACCCATTTTGTTGAGGATATTGTTGAGCACCATAGTGAATGTGGCTTCTCGATTGTCCGATGGTCATATATCAGTTCCGGTTTTTCGTCAGTTATTGAATTCTTCTCCCTTGGTCGCGGATCGGTGTCCTACTTATTGTCTAATTATCCTAAGCGCTTTTGACGCCTACACACGGCATACATAGCACGTGTCCACGTCAACGCAAATTCTTCAGAGGTTTTTGTTTCACCAAGGAACTAACTTGATTGGAGAGGCATTTTGAAGCATTCGTTGCCTGAATGGATTGCGAAGCGCAATCCCAATGTGGACCACGATTCCGATTGAAGTGAACTATGGTCATTCGATCGCTAGGGCTGTGGCTGAAGCAGATGAGTTGGAGATCAAATAGGGTCTAAACGCTTGACCTGCAGCGTTTTCGCGAAGGAACTAACTTGTTTATCTTCGTCTACCACTCGTCTACGCTCCTCATTTTTCGCGAGCACACTGGCGCCATCCGGCATCCGCAATTCTCCGCAGGCGGCAATACTCAAAGGCGCGAAGTCGCCTCAGCTCACCAGACCGATGGGGGCGTAGTCACCATTGTAGAGGTGCTTGGACCTCAGTGCCTGGTCGGATGGTGGCTGAGTGGTCTATACGCCTGGTTTGCAACCATAAGGTCACCGGTTCGAATCCGCGTGGAGGTGGGCGTCCTCGCAGTATACTCGGTGGTAGTCGCGTGATAGCCGTTAAGGTGTACATCTGCCACATTATTATTATTATTATTATTATTATTATTATTATTATTATTTTATTATTATTATTATTATTGTGGTCCTCACTGTGGTTCTGTATTCGAGGTATTTCAAATCGGTGAAACCCCCTATGCTGTCACAAATGTCGCAGTTTCAAGAAGCCAGTTTTTACTTTCGTAATACGAAAGTCGCTACCAGTGCAATCGCAGAAATAGTTATATTTGTCAATTATCTCATTTCTCATCCTCAATGGGTCATCAAATAGCTACTTGTGATGCAACAATACCTTTCTATCTGAAGCTGCGAACCGCATTCTAAATGTGGGACCACTCTCTTAAGGTCATCTAGGTTTGGCTCGGTCGCCCCAAGCTTGCTACACAACAATACGATATTTTCCGCAGCTAGTTTTTTATGTTAACATTTCAATTCCTGCATCTTTATTTCCGACAAGACAACACTCTTGAATACGTCTTCGGCTATGGAACGCCACTTGTTGTCTGAAAGTCGTCCGGCAATTCACCATAATGCTGGCGTGACATGATGTGTACTAGTGCAACCCATGTAAAGTGTTCGCATATTTCATGGAAACACCTTTTCTATGCGAGTCTGTCAAACGAAACAAACCAATCGAGCGAACTCGAGGTTGAGGAGCAGCTACTGTCAGGGTACGATACGTGTGATGCCTTTCTAATACCTGTCTCAAAGTCCAAACGTGGTCTCTGCGAGCTCTTACCGGTTGATAATCGGCCTATTCTTCTATAATCCATACTTCCCGTCCAGCAGTGCAGAGACGAACGGGATTCCCTCTGTAATTTTGTCGCCACTTGTGACAGGCTGATACCCATGTGGCTAGCACAAACGCTGAGACTCCTTTCTACCACTCTGACCAATTTGCCCCTGTTGGCCGGGATGGCCTCTTGCTTCCAAGGATGTTCGGACGCGTGGGTCCTTGGTTTGCACAACACCTCACCCCCAGTCGTAGATAGCGCAGACATGTTCGTTGAAAAGCGGCGTTCATGGCATAACTGTACGACAGGCATGTGCTCTCCAATTGTCCTTTCTACTTTTTCCACTCCTTTTTCGTCTGTTTTACCCAGAAGAAATTAGTGCACAATGTCCAGAATGCGATGGAATACACAACCGTAGGGGATTTGCTATTATGCTCACTTGATTTCCAACCACAGGGGTTGATGAATTCGCGACCATTGCCAACCACAACTGGTTTTTGGCTGGTCTGCACTTTATTGTGTATGGGTCACCCATGCATAAACGAGTAGTACCATCATCCGGAGTAACTGTTGCGGCTACATCCAGTAACCCCGTTAAAATGCGCCACAAAATCCAGTGCGTAGTCCGCGAGACGCAGATTTCAATTCCTGCCCACAACGTAGCAGGATCCAGCCACTCCGAGTCGGGGCGCAACTGGGCTAAAGTGAACAATGTTCTTTCGTAAACCACCAGCCCTACGTGGTGATTCATTTCACCCACAAAACGAAACATTATGCCAACTGTGATTCGGTCTTTGTGGCTCGTAAAGGACTCTCAGAGGTCCGCTTTGTCTTCTCTTATGAGGGCTTGGGAACCACGTGGTCACGTGAGCGTGTACGCCGCTGTAGCCGTGTGTTCCGTGTGCGTCTAAGTCTCACGCGTCTAGCCCCCCCCCCCGATTGTGCGCATATCATTGTCTGTTTCCGAGGCCTCAGCGTGCCACCCGGATATGTGCGTGAATAGGGACCGTGCTCCGGTTACGCGTAACTTTCGTCTAAGCTAATGCGACCAGGTCTGCGCAAATCCATTACTGTAACCCATAATGTTCGTCCTCTGCCCCTTCGATGTTCTGCTGGTCCTAAGTGTGTGATGCGGCTCTTCGCATACTTCCCCAATTGATCTAATTCTTATGCTTCCTGAAAATCAATCCCGCTAGCTTGGTCAGGGGTTAAAGACAGGATAAACTGAATTCTGAAGAAATACTCCATGTATGTACTGCGCACATTACGATTAATGGGCCACCAGGTGCGACCTGAAACGAGGTTGGTGAGCTAGCAAGACACCCTGTTGGATACAGCTGGCCCAAATATGGAGAAGCACAAGCATCGGATAACTTTCGCAGCCTATTCCGAGTAATCCGTGTCACTGATCCCTGGAAATCAGCCCCATGGTTTCCCCAGTGATGATACCGATAATGCAACCAACTAAGTTGTCCGACTCTTTGGATTGAACGCTTTCGGGGGTATTTTTGTTTACCTACGTCGGAGGCGCTTCATGTTCGGGTGATGCAGATTAAACAACGTCAAGTTCGTTTAGTTTCATATCAGAAACATTTCGGAGCTACTGACCCAGATTCTCTTACGCTCTCACTACTTTCCAACTGCAGTCAGGTCCCTTGGCAAATATTAACCTACCTGTCCGAACAGGTACTTGCAAACAGTTCACCTCAGAGCCTACTTCCAGCAGTCGGATCCCTGTTCAACAGCACAATACGTTCGTCATGGATATTCCATTTCCCCATCGCTATTTAATTTTTTCTTCGGTAATGGTCTTTTCCGCTGTAGGTTGACTGGAAGTTATTGATAGTCTGTGGACAACGTTATTTAATTGTTTGGCGAACCCGATGCGACCTCATAAACCCCGGGCAAATGGAAAGGTAGCTGAATGGTGTAAGTAGAAGTTAATCATACCTACACCTTGTCAGACAGCCACTATACGCTCAGCAAAGCACTATACTGCTATTTCAACCTTTCAAGAATTGTCCGCAGTGACCCCTGTGCGGCTAGAGTCCGCAACCCGACTGTTTTCAGTCCGTGGTTAAGACCACTGAACTACTGACAAATTGACTGGAGCCATATTTCACTATTTCCTCGATATGTACAGTAAAGAGATACTCTGTGTCTACACATACAGTCAACACTACATTTTTAGTACTTTTACTGTTTACGCACACACGAGCCCAAATTATCGTCACCTCACTGACGGCTTTGTTCCTCATGAGTAATTCTTCCATTTCTGCAGCTTGTACAACTTTCGGCCTCTGCCGACTACATGCGTAGCAACGTGTCTGT